TCTAACAGGTGGAACAGTTCTCAGGGCTTTCTGAGGGTCTGTCTTCTGGGTTATAATCCTCAGTTTGGCCCTAATAAAATTCCCTTTTTTTCTTCTTACTGTCATTGTTAACTGAATTTTCTATGGCATTAGTTTATTTCTAATCCAGAGTAATCATTAAATCTTGTCAAGTTTTTGACCACTACAAAATTCCTTCAGTTATTTCAAGGATGTTGGGTATTAGGGAATAATACCAAAATCATTGCACCAGGTGAAGCTAATGACGCAGCACGTTTTGGGAGGGGTTAAAGGGAGGTAGGGACCTTCGCCGTATATTCACAGGAATGGGTGGCCCGTATAGCAGCTTTCCAGGCCCACCAGGCCCTGCCCTCTGGCTCCTTCCCACTGCCTGGCCTTTGCCCCAGCAGCTCCTCTGGCCTACAAGGCCCCCTCATTCCTTAGCTCTGAAAGCCTGCTTTTCAAGAGCCGCCACTCCAGCTCAGCTCCATCTTTCTCTTACTCGATTCCTAGACGCTTAATATTTGAACCAGCTAATTTTACCTTCACTGACGCACGCACTGCCTCGCCCTGTTTTTCTAGGTCTCGAGCTATTATTTAAAACTCGGTTGCGCACAGCTGGTCACGTTACCGCGGTCTAAGTCGGACAGAACTACCCGCGCCGTCCCCTAACCATGTGAGCTCCGGCTCTGGCGCAGAGCCAGGGGGCGGTGCCGGGCCCCCGGCCGCCACGCCCGCCTTTCCGGTTGGGGCCGCGCAGCGCGGTCACGTGGGTGGAGGAACTGCGGCCAGCGCAGCGTGGAGTCTCGGCCTCAGGTGAGCGCGCTCAGGGGGCGGAGGGACGGGGGCGGCGCGAGGCGGCCGGGGTCCAGCTCACTTAGACCTGCTCTCGGTTCCTCACCCGCCAAGGACAGTGGAGAGGGTCCGGGGCCAGACCCCCGGGCGGGGCTGCGCAAATTCGAGAAGCTCGGCAGGTTATGTACAAGCTGGTAAACTGGCTCCTTCTTCCGCTCTTGCTAGTTGAATGTCCTCATCTTATATTGTAGAAATAAGGAATAGATTTTGAAAGACTCTTTCTACCTCTCTCATCTCCTCCTTTATTATTATTTTTTCTATATTTTTCTGCTAATTATGAGCCTTAAAACTACAGCGCAGTAAATGCAATGTGGTATCCTGGATTGGATCTTAGAACAGAAAAAGGACATCAGTAGAGAAACTGGGGAAATCCTGATAAAGTATTTGGTAAGTGCGTGTATCAATGTTAATTTCTTATTTTTGATAAATGTACTCTAATATTGCATTAGAGGAATTTGGGTAGAGAGCATACAGGAGCTCACTGTACTACCTTTGCAACTTACTGTAAATCTAAAATTATTTTAACATTAAAATTTAAACAAAATCCTACAGCAGTATGCTGCAGATCACTGTTTACAGAAAGGGCTGAAGTCAGTTCCTTTTTTGCCAAGCCTGACAGGAATTAGGTGTCTGTTTGATCAACTTGTTTGCTAAGGAAATAGTTGTCTGGCTAGTGGGTGTGGATGCTTCTAGTTCAAGTTTTCCAGGCAGGAATCTGTTTTCTTTTTCAATTCCATCCATTAAGTGTCTCTGGAACACCTGTTATGCGCAAGTAAATGAGAGACACTCATTCCCTACAGTAGGGCCCTGTGTGATAAAAAAGCAAGTCAGGTAGGAAATACGGACTATTAGAAGGATACAACGCAGAGCTAGGAGGGCTCAGAGGTAGAAGAAAGCACATCTGGCCCAGGGGAGTCAGGAGGGCTACTGGAGGGAGTGGCTGTCATGAACTGAGGAGGGCCTGAGAGGAGAAAGCATTCTGGGTGGAGAATGGCTCCAGCAGAGGCTTTAAAGAGACCAGGCTGAGGGGCCCTGGGAGCAGGTACAATCCCTTTTCCACGGAAGCACAGAGCATGCCCAGGGAATACTGGCAGATGGCACAGGAAGTGAAAACTGGTTACATTGTGGAAAACAAGGTGACACCTACTTTAATCATATATACCATGGGAGCTATGGAATGTTTTTGGGCAGGAGAGGGGCATCATTGGATCTGTGCTTGCAGATGACTGAGTTGGCAGCAATGGCTTGGAGTAGATCAGTTAGGGAAGTATTGGTTTAGCCCAGGAGAGGTAAAAGTTCATCCGGGGCTGTGAAGTTGATATGCAAAGAAGGACATGGTTTGGGGAGATTTTGTGGACCTAGAGGACTTGGCAACTGAAGGAACTGAAAAGAAGAAAAAGGAAAAAACCCCAAATCCCAAAGTTTTGGCCCTGGATGTTTTGGAGCGTGATTGATGGGTTTGCAGAAACAGAGGACTCAGCAGGAGACCTGGGGTGGCAGTGGGGAGGGTAATGCATTTGTTTTTGAACAAGCTGTGTTTGAAATGCTGGCAGGATATCGAGCTGGGGATGTGTATTTTAAGAGTTTTCAGGAGTGGAAGCCAAACATATACAGAAGGGACAGGAAGAGGCAAAGGAGTCTGAGTGGGCAGGTCGGAGCCAGTCAGGGATCCCTGTGGGGTTGAGGAATGAAGGTGGGCCGGAGGACTTGGACATGGTGAGTCAGTAGCATCACAGCTTCTGCAGAAGCGCAGGAGCCTGAGGAATGAGGCTAGATCTTAGATTTAGCAATTAGGAAGATACACGTCCCTTTCAGAGTTGTTTTAATGGAAGAGTAGAAGATTGTGTGCTCACGGTCTGTAGTCTGTTCATTCAGTCGCCATTCCCAAGTGGACCAGGAGCCAGGGATATGGATTCTAGTTCTGGCCCTGCCACTGCCTGTGTAATTTTGGGCAAGTCATGTATGCTTGGGCTGGCATAAGAAGACACCCATAATAAGACCAAAAGGACCTTTTTATTTCTAGCAACACCTAATAGTCCATAGAGCCAGGGTTCCATGGGGCACACTTTGGAAAATGCTACTATAGAGCCAGAATTTTAGAGGTCTAAAGAACGGAAGAATCTTATCCAGTCCCCTGACTTGACAAATGAAGAAACGAGTACTCAAATTCATATTAATGAACATTGATTTCAAATATATTAATAGTGTCCAAAATACCCCTATAAAGTAGTTATGCTTAAAGCCATTTTGGAAATCCTAAAATAGGGTCTGAGAGATTAAATGACTTGCCCAGGATCACAGAGCAGCACGTGGTGGTGTGAGATTTGAACCCAGGCCTTCTGGGTCAGGGCCCTTCTCTGTCACACATCCTGCTGCCTCCTTGGTTGTCAGCCTTGAATGCATTTAAAACTGGTTGAATGGGGCTTCCGTGGTGGCGCAGTGGTTGAGAGTATGCCTGCTGATGCGGGGGACGCAGGTTCGCGCCCCGGTCCGGGAAGATCCCATATGCTGCGGAGCGGCTGGGCCCGTGAGCCATGGCCGCTGAGTCTGCGCGTCCGGAGCCTGTGCTCCGCAACGGGAGAGGCCACAACAGTGAGGGACCCGTGTACCGCAAAAAAACCAAAAAAACCCAAAACTGGTTGAATGGAATGTTAGTAACTTCAACTTTTTTCCCCTTTCTTAGAAGAAATGTGTTCCAAAAGTCAAGTGTTAACCACTGGACCACCAGGGAAGTCCCGACTGCATTACATATTAATATTACTATATAATTAGTATATAACAGTGGGAGAGTACACAGCCAACAATTCCCAAAGTTACATTTTAAAAAACACTAGAGCATTAGACCATGTGAAAGCTCATTTTGTTCAACTCTGAACAGTAGGAAGGTGTACCTGTGACGCCTGAATATATGTGGCACATTGAAAAATATTCTTAGCTGATCCTGTGATTGCTTACTCTTTCCTCTTATTGCTTTTTTCCTTTGCGTTGACCAATTCTGTTTTCTGCACTGTTGGCTACCAGACCCTGACCACGCCCTTCTTAACAGAGGCAGGAGGCTGCACTAGAGGTAAAATACAGCCTCTTAGGGATTAGTCTTTGATTCAGTAAGTAATATCCTGTCTACCTTGACAAATAAAAATAGACAAACATTTTTTAAAATTATTTATTTATTTATTTAGGCTGCGCCGGGTCTTAGTTGCAACATGTGCGATCTTCTTGTGGCATGAGGGCTTCTTAGTTGCGGCACGCAGACTTCTTAGTTGCAGCATGCGAACTCTTAGTTGCAGCATACGTGCGGGATCTAGTTCCCCGACCAGGGATCGAACCCAGGCCCCCTGTAATGGGAGCACAGAGTCCTACCCACTGGACCACCAGGGAAGTCCCTAGACAAACTTATTTAGGAAATAAACTTGTAGAGGAACCAAGATGATTTCATAAAAATTTTGGGAAAAAATGGGTCCAATATACTTCATTGAGTGTTGCCAAACTAGCTATTTTAGACTTTTACTCTCAGTTTTACTTGATATCATAAATAATAGAAACTTGGTTTACTCTGATGTTAATCTCATTGAAGTTCTCTGAAAGATAGAAAGCAGTGGCTAAGAGTCTAACAGTATCTCTGACGTGAGGGGTCTAGATTCAGAATCTGGCTCTCTCTCTTTTTAGCTATGTTATTTAACCTCTCTGTGCTTCAGTGTAATTGTCTAGACAACAATAGTATTGTCTTGTAAAGTGTTTGTGAAGATTAAATAGAATAATCTAAGTAGCGCACTTAGAATAGTGCCTCGCACACAGAAAGCAAGCAACAAGTGCTAGCTGTTATTAGATCATGGCTTAAAAGTTGTTGCCAGTTTTTTAAATTAATTAATTAATCTATTATTTATTTTTGGCCGTGTTGGGTCTTCCTTGTTGCACTTGGGCTTTCTCTAGTTGTGGTGAGTGGGGCTGCTCTTCGTTGCAGTGCACGGGCTTCTCATTGCGGTGGCTTCTCTTGTTGCAGAGCACGGGCTCTAGGTGTGTGGGCTCAGTAGTTGTGGCTCGCGGACTCTAGAACACAGGCTCAGTAGTTGTGGCATACGGGCTTAGTTGCTCCGCGGCATGTGGGATCTTCCCGGACCAGGACTTGAACCTGTGTCCCCTGCATTGGCAAGCGGATTCCCAACCACTGCGCCGCCAGGGAAGCCCAAGTTGTTGCCAATTTAAGGCATCCAGTTTAATCATTTTCTTTTCTAGGAGGACACAGCTGATTAACACACTTCTTGTCTTTTCCCCTAATCCAGTTAAAAGGTCTCATTTTTTTTTCTGTTTTTAAAAATACATTTTAATATATTATGGAGGTATAATTTACATATAATACAATGTACCATCGTAAGTATATGGTTTAATGAGTTTTGACAAACCATCATTCCAGTCAACATACAAGACTTTTTCATTACCCCAGAAAAGTTCCCTCATGCCCTTTGAAGCCAACCTTCCCACCCCAGGTAACCATTGATCTGTTGTTTTGCCTGGATTTCATACAATACATGGTTCTTCTGTTAGCATAATGTAAGATTCATCCACATTATTGCATATATCAGAAATGTATTATTTATTACTGAATATATTCTGTGTGTGGACTACCACAATTTGTCCATTTTCTTGTTGATGGACATTTGGATTGTTTTCAGTTTTTTGGCTAATTTGAATAATACTCTGAACATTCATGCACGCATCTTTTTATGAACACATGTTTTCATTTCTCATGGGTAAAGCTTAAGAATGCAGTTGTTGGGTCACTTGTTTGAAAGAAACTGTCAAACTTTTTCACAGTGGTTGTACCATCTTATACTCCTGCCATCAGTGTATTTGGGTGTCCACATCCTTGGCAACACCTGGAATTGACAGTGGTACGTGGTGGAATCTCATTGTAGTTTTTTGTAATTGTAATCTATAATTCCTTGATGAATGATATTGAGCCTCTTTCCATCTATGTATCTTCTTCTTCCTTTTTTTTTGGCTGTGCTTTATGGCTGGATCTCAGTTCCCCGACCAGGGATTGAACCCGGGCACCGGCAGTGAAAGTCTGGAATCCTAACCACTAGGCCACTGGGGAACTCTCAAAGTATCTTCTTTTATAATGTATCTCTCTAAAATTTTTAAGGGCCTTTGTTTGTTTTGTTTTGTTTTTTAATTTTTTTTTTTTTTTTTGTTTTTTTTTTTTTTTTTTTTACTGGTACGCGGGCCTCTCACTGCTGTGGCCTCTCCCGTTGCGGAGCACAGGCTCCGGACGCGCAGGCTCAGCAGCCATGGCTCACGGGCCCAGCCACCCTGCGGCATGTGGGATCCTCCCGGACCGGGGCACAAACCCGTGTCCCCTGCATCGGCAGGCGGACTCTCAACCACTGCGCCACCAGGGAAGCCCCTGTTTTTTAATTTTTTAAGGGCCTTTGTTTTTAAACATTGAAAATGTATGGTACCTTGACCCTAAAAATAACAGAAACCCCTTCAAACATGATAGATTTATTTGGCATCTTTGTGTGGTTTTAAAAGTGGGAGACTAAGAGAAACTTCAGCAAAAATACAAGACTGAGATTTAATTATTTTTGAATGTCCTGGTAAGCAATTACTTAAACAGCAGGATATTTAGAAAGGATTTCAGATGTGTTTATTTTCCTTTTAAAAAAAAAAGAGTCTTGAGAAAAGGATGAAATATTTCTAAATACCTTCAGCAAAGCAGCTGTTTTGAAATGGCTGGTGGTGAAAGTCCCTCTTCACTGCCCTTGTACTGGAGGGACAAGGCTGAGCATTTCCAGTGCTCTCCAGCCAACAGGTGGACACTGTCACCAGGTAGGTGCCCACAGTGGGATCCACACGGGGTGGGGGTGTTTTTCAGTGATGGGCATTTCTCTGTAGGGCTTTTTTTTTTTTTTTTTTGCGGTACGCGGGCCTCTCACTGCTGTGGCCTCTCCCGTTGCGGAGCACAGGCTCCGGACGCGCAGGCCCAGCGGCCATGGCTCACGGGCCCAGCCGCTCCACGGCATGTGGGATCCCCCCGGACCGGGGCATGAACTCGTGTCCCCTGCATTGGCAGGCGGACTCCCAACAACTGGGCCACCAGGGAAGCCCTCTGTAGGGCATGTTTATCCGGAGTTAGCCCCAGGTTATCCGGTGTGGAGCCTTACAGAGGTGGCTGTTTTGTTTTTCACCCCAGGCAGGTATTTCAGTTTATTGGTTTTATTTATTTAATTAATTGATTTATCTATTTATTTTGGCTGCACTTCGAGGCATGCAGGATCTTAGTTCCCCTACCAGGAATCAAACCTGCGCCCTTTGCAGTGGAAGCACAGAGTCTTAACCACTGGACCGCCAGGGAAGTCCCTCAGTTTGTTTCTCCCTTTATCCACTTATTTAAAAGTACTGTTGTGCACTGATCACTGTCTTAGATAACTGTGTAGGCACTGGGCATGCATTGTGATCCAAACAGACCAAAATCTCTACCCTGTGGAGCTTGCATTCCACTTAGGGCCCTCGGGAGCGGGTTTGGGCTCTGGTAGAGGAAATGTCCAGGTCGCACTACCTTTTGAGAAGCGTAACAGGCAGGCCAGAGCCACCTTCTGCTTCCCTAGGCTCCCAAGTGTACTGCTTTCCCCCTTTGAATGGTGTGCTTTGAAAAATGAGTACAATATAGAGGGGTATGTTAGAAGGTCATAAATGCCAAGAAGAAAAATCAAGCAGAGAAGTGGGATAGTGAAGAGGAGTTGGCAGTTTTAGGTGGGGTGCCAGGAAAGGCCACGCTGAGAAGGTGACGCTGCAGGAAAGACCCAAGGAGGCGAGGAACCAGCTGTGCATCTGGCTGGGGGAAGAATGTTCCAGGCAGAGGGAACTCGAAGCCCTGGGGCAGGAATGCCTGGCTCGGTCAGTAATACCAGGGAGGCTGGGGAGGCCAGGGTGAGGGTACGGGGCAGAGGTGAGCTTGGGGCCCCTCGCCATTGGAAGGGCTTTGACTTTTACTCTGTGCTGAGAAACACTGGAGGGTTTTGAACACAGGTGTGGCATGGTTAGAGAAAGAGAGGGACGATGGGGGGACCTTCTTCCCTCCATCTGTCACTGTCCCGACAAAACCTCTCCTAATCGTATCTGCACAGAAATAGAAAATGAACCAAGTAGAGCCGTACGAGAGAGCGTAAGGGCCCTGAGCACCTGAAGTAGATAAAGGGTTGTGAGGAACAGAGGCAAGATGGTCTTAGTCATTGGAAGCTGGGTTTTCAGAGACTCTTCTGAATTTTATACAGCTCTTAGGCTCATGAAAACTGATCCCTTTCCTTTGTAAGCTTGTTTGTCAGGTGCGTTCTTTTTCCTTGGCAAAGCCTGATCTGCTTTATCCTGATCAGTAATTATTGGATTCAGTAAAAGTCTTTCCTATTTCCTTGGAAATAAGGAGTCAGATCTTTTCTTACCCGAAAAGTCCTGAAATGTTAAACAGCTTCAGTTGGATTGCAAGGGGCATCTGTGTGCTTGTGCATTGCTGGCTGTGCCTGCAAAATATAGGAAGGAACTTTTCTTCCCTGGCAAACCCAACTTTGATTATACTGACGGCTTTTTAACTACTGTTTTCTCTTAACTGCAGATAACTTGTTTATCCCTACGGTAAAGAAGGCACGTGGCTGATGAGCAGGGAGGCGAGGCCGCAGAGTGAGGCAGAGGGGCAGGCCTGGGAAGCAGAGGACGATGACATGGCAGAAGGCGATTTAGGGTATGGCCTCAGAAGAAGGCCCGGCGGCATTTATGAAGTGCAAGTTTCACATTTATTTACATCTAGAAAAAGATCAGATGGAAAGGCCTTTAGTCCTCCCCCGTTTTCAAGAAATGGGGAAGAAAGAAACAGTGCCGTTTTTCAGTATTCCAAGCATAAGAGCTTGCATGATACACACCCGGAAGGACCCCAAATTCCCTATCACGGCCGACAAAGTAGCACTGGTAAGAATGCCCAGCATCCTCTTTCTCCTCCTCTTTTCTGCCCTGTGGATTTTATCAATGCTGTCAGCCTCCCAACACATGAAGATGGGTCACCATCGTGGATTTTAGAAATTTATCTTTATTCACCTCTAGAGGTTGATTGGTGATGGTAAAGGTGATTGATGTTTGTGTCTCCATGCATTATACAAATTGTGAAGTACAGTAATTATTCTGCATCAATACATATATGTTAGTTATATCAATAAGTAATTACTTACCTTGCTTTTCTTGTGAAGTAGTGGTATACTTCATTTGTTCTTTTTTTGTCTTATTCAGCAAACATTTATTGGGTACCTGTTAGGTACCCAGCACAGTACCAGACTCTGGGAATAACATCAGTAAATAAAATAGTCAAAGGCCCTAATGCCATGGAGTTCACATTCTGGTAGAGCAGACAGAAAATAAACCTGCAAATCAACAGCTATGTAACATCAGGCAGTAGTACGTGAAAAGACAGTGAGTAAGTGGAGGGGCTGGGGCGCTGCTGTTTGAGGCACAGGTCAAGAGAGGTGACATTGGGCTTCCCTGGTGGCGCAGTGGTTGAGAGTCCCCCTGCCGATGCAGGGGACGCGGGTTCGTGCCCCGGTCCGGGAAGATCCCACATGCCGCAGAGTGGCTGGGCCCATGAGCCATGGCCGCTGAGCCTGCGCGCCCGGAGCCTGTGCTCCGCAACGGGAGAGGCCACAACAGTGAGAGGCCCGCATACCACAAAAAGAGAAGTCACATTGGAGCACTGCAAGCCTGATGCTCATCTGGGGAAGGAGTGTTACAGGCAGAACACACAGGCTTCAGGTTATTTTAGGGATGTCATAAAATTCTCAAAACAAAATTAATTTATCATAAGTAAAAATAAATTGTGCTGTACACTAAGGAGAGAATAAAATTCAGAATCATACTGTGATAGAATGTTACAACTGCGAAGTGACCCGGAACTGGTGGATGAGTCCCAGCCTGCACTGAGGTACAGCTCTGGTGTGGCTGAATCTTTTGTAATCCACATTGTAAAACTTCCCCACCAAAGTGGAACAAACACAATTAGAACAACATGAAAATAATTTAAGAAACATTTCAGATTTATGAAAACATGGTGCAGCTGGGGATCGATCTCTGTCCTTCAAAATCCTTCTTGAAATTAGGATGGGATTATTTATATATTTTTCTTCCAAGTCCTTATCATGCATAGAGGATGGATACTGTTTTGCAAGCAAGATGTTGAAAATTGAACATTATGCTAAGATGCCTTTACAAAAATGTGAGGAAACTACTGGGATATAAACAAGAAGTAATAGTAATGGTATGAGCTCCTATATTTTTTGAGTTATCGACTTTTGTCTTTTTATCAAAGTTGACTTGATCCTAGGTGAGAATATTGTGTTAGTTTCCTCTTGCTAATAGGCAGTTTCCAAATTACCAGAAATTTAATGGTTTAAAACAACATAAATTTTATTCTCTTACAGTTCTGTAGGTCAAAAATCCAAAACAGGTTTCACTGGACTAAAATCACGGTGTTGGCATGGCTGCCTCCCTTCTGGAGGCTCTAGGGGAGAACCCACTCCCTTGCCTTTTCCACCTTCTAGAGGCTGCCTTCCCTGGCCGTGGTACCCTTCCTCCGTCTTCACAGCCACTTCTCCCGCTGCCTTATGCTGATACTGACTCCTCTGCCTCCTTCTTTCATTTATAAGGACCTGGGTAATCCAGAATAATCTCCTATCTCCACGTATTTAATCACACCTGCAAAATCCTTTTTGCTAGGTATTCACAGGTTCTGGGATTAAGATGTGGACATCTTTGGGGGCCATTTTTCTGCCTACCACAGGTGTTAATAGAGTAGAACTTGTCATTGTCAAACCAGTGTTACTTTTTAAAAAATTTAATTTATTTTTTTATTTTTGGCCACACCATGCTGCATGCAGGATCTTAGTTCCCCGACCAGGGATTGAACCCATGCCCCCTGCACTGGACCGCCAGGGAAGTTCCCCAATGTCACTTTTGTCCCTCATTGGAACCCTGAATTATCAGAGTAAAAACATGACTTAGGTTTTCCCTTGGTTACTGTCATGTTGATGAAAGTTCAGAATAGCAAAGAAAAGAATTGTTTTGAGAAATTTTTAATGTCCCTCAAAATACTCTTTCTAAATTTTTTTGCTTCTTTTTACTTCCTGTTCTCTTGCTATAATTTATCACTTCAATGTTTTTCTATTGCCAGTGAAACTGCAATGTAAATGAAGTTCCTGGGAAGCCCAGATTAATGTCTCAGTTGATCGATCCCATTAAGGAGAGAATAATTGAAGTTACTGGAGACTTCTAGTGATTCTCCTTGGAAAGAAATTAAATTCAGGTTATTTCTTAGATATTCATATCACGATATTGATCAGGCTTAAGCCAAACACCAAAATTTATTTACTTTACTCACCAACATTCATTAATACTGTGTTTGGATATAGTAAGTAACCAATTCATTAACAACAGTTTTATTTTAGAGTCCTTTTTTTTAAGAGTCTTTCGATTCAAAAGTATGTGTCTTTTCATTTGTGGAATGTTCTAAGCTATCTGTTTTTATCGTCATTTGGTTTATTACAGTTATTTTCTCGTTTCAGTTTAGGGAAAGGCTGTATTTGATATTTTGTAAACAAATGTCCCATATTTAACTAGCTAAAGAAAATATTTAATTTTTTTTTTCCCTCTAGTAGATTCTAATTCAGAGTTGTCAAATGTGGAATTAAGGCAACGTCTTCAGGAAACTTTAGAGGTAGGTCCTCTGGCTAACATACAAATTCTCATGTGAATAAAGTCCACTGATAGATATTTTGTGTAAGTATTACTAACATGGTATGGAAGTCAACTGTTGGCTTTCCATATATTCTCGAGCCACACTGTCAAGCTCATAGCTTCCAACTGGCCTCCGCATCTCAGTGGCTTCGTCGCCTCATCTCTCCGAATGGCTGTTCGTATAAACATGCCCTCTTGTTCTCCTTTCCAACTTATTTCTCTAATCTCCTCCTGGAGAAAATAATCACTCCCTTCCATCTGTCTTCCCAGTATGTGTGACTTGAAATAACCTGACTTAATTGAACCTCTTTGAAGTCAGAGGACTAGAAAGTACCCCAGGGGGTCTGAGGAGACCATCCGTCTTGCTGGGAGTTGGAGTTTCTATGAGGGTGCTTGTCCTTTCAGGAACAGAAAGCCTGTCTTAGTGTGCATTTGTTTTTTTTGTTTGTTTTTTTGGGTTTTGTTTTGGCCGTAGCATGTGGGATGTTAGTTTCCCGACCAGAGGTCGAACCTCAGGCCCCCTGCAGTGGACGCATGGGGTCTTAACTGCTGGACCGCCAGGGAACTCCCTTACTGTGCCTTTGTATCTCTTCTGGTGACTGCTACTCTACTGGTTTCTAGGGCTGCCCTGACAAACTGGTGTCTTAAAAGAGCAGATCGCAGCTTCCCTGGTGGCGCAGTGGTTGAGAGTCTGCCTGCCGATGCAGGGGACACGGGTTCGTGCCTCAGTCCGGGATGATCCCACATGCCGCGGAGCGCTGGGCCTGTGAGCCATGGCCACTGAGCCTGCGTGACTGGAGCCTCTGCTCTGCAACGGGAGAGGCCCGCGTACCGCAAAAAAAAAAAAAAAAAGAGCAGATCGATTCTCTCTCAGCTATGGCGGCTAGAGGTCTGAAATCAAGATGTGGGTGGGCCATGTTCCCTCTGAAGGGTCTAGAGGAGAATCCTTTACCACCTCCTAGCTTCTGGCGGTTGCCGCCAACAACCTTTGGCTTGTAGCTGCGTCACACCAGTCATTGGATTGAGGCCTACTCTAATCTAGTATGACATTAATTACATCTGCAAAGACCCTATTTCCAAATAAGGTCGAATTTATGGTACCAGGGGTTAGGACTTGAGGATATCTTTTGGGATGGGGGGCACAGTTCTACCTATAATAGCTACTGTAGCTGTGTAGCCGATCATGTTCTTATTTTATGTGGTCTAAAGCTTTTTCTCCAAATTATTAACTGTGTGTGTGGCCTAGATGGGTAAAAGCAAAAGATTTGGGCTTTTAGTCATAACTGGCACCTGACAGCGAGCATCTCAGTTTTAGCCTCTCTGGTCCACTTACAAAGCCTGGAGGAATTTCCAACCTCATTTTGTAAGGTCAGAGCACTTTGAGTCAAAGTGAATGTTGAGCTTAAATGTAGACTGTCTAAATTGATCATTTGGGGTTGCATATCTCACAGATAGGAAGACTAATTGTATTTTTCTCCTCAGGAGGTAGAAATTTTGAAAACTGAACTTGAGGCATCTCAAAGACATCTTGAAGGTAAAGAGGAAGCATTGAGAATTCTTCAAAGCAATGTAAGAAGTTACTTTTACACTTTCATCAGGTACACATTCCAATGATAGGTAGTATGGTTTTATCTTTTTAATTTAATTGAATTTTTATATTTTTGGCCATGCTGCACAGCTTGCCGGATCTCAGTTCCCCAGCCAGGGATTGAACCCAGGCCATGGCAGTAAAAGTGCCGAATCCTGAACACTAGACCACCAGGGAACTCCCTGGTTATAGCTTTTAAAATAAAAGCATCAGTGTTTATAATATAGTTTTTTTTTTTGAGCTATAGATTTTTAAAACAGCTTTATTAAGATATAACTTAATGTCATGAATTTCACTTGTTTTAAGCAATTTATTTTTAGTAAACTTAGAATTGTGTAACTATCATCACAACTTAATTTGGAACATTCCCATCACCCCAAAAAGGGAACATTCCCATCACCCCAAAAAGGGAACATTCCCATCACCCCAAAATGCGGAGCACAGGCTCCGGACGCGCAGGCCCAGCGGCCATGGCTCACGGGCCCAGCCGCTCCACGGCATGTGGGATCCCCCCGGACCGGGGCATGAACTCGTGTCCCCTGCATTGGCAGGCGGACTCCCAACAACTGGGCCACCAGGGAAGCCCTCTGTAGGGCATGTTTATCCGGAGTTAGCCCCAGGTTATCCGGTGTGGAGCCTTACAGAGGTGGCTGTTTTGTTTTTCACCCCAGGCAGGTATTTCAGTTTATTGGTTTTATTTATTTAATTAATTGATTTATCTATTTATTTTGGCTGCACTTCGAGGCATGCAGGATCTTAGTTCCCCTACCAGGAATCAAACCTGCGCCCTTTGCAGTGGAAGCACAGAGTCTTAACCACTGGACCGCCAGGGAAGTCCCTCAGTTTGTTTCTCCCTTTATCCACTTATTTAAAAGTACTGTTGTGCACTGATCACTGTCTTAGATAACTGTGTAGGCACTGGGCATGCATTGTGATCCAAACAGACCAAAATCTCTACCCTGTGGAGCTTGCATTCCACTTAGGGCCCTCGGGAGCGGGTTTGGGCTCTGGTAGAGGAAATGTCCAGGTCGCACTACCTTTTGAGAAGCGTAACAGGCAGGCCAGAGCCACCTTCTGCTTCCCTAGGCTCCCAAGTGTACTGCTTTCCCCCTTTGAATGGTGTGCTTTGAAAAATGAGTACAATATAGAGGGGTATGTTAGAAGGTCATAAATGCCAAGAAGAAAAATCAAGCAGAGAAGTGGGATAGTGAAGAGGAGTTGGCAGTTTTAGGTGGGGTGCCAGGAAAGGCCACGCTGAGAAGGTGACGCTGCAGGAAAGACCCAAGGAGGCGAGGAACCAGCTGTGCATCTGGCTGGGGGAAGAATGTTCCAGGCAGAGGGAACTCGAAGCCCTGGGGCAGGAATGCCTGGCTCGGTCAGTAATACCAGGGAGGCTGGGGAGGCCAGGGTGAGGGTACGGGGCAGAGGTGAGCTTGGGGCCCCTCGCCATTGGAAGGGCTTTGACTTTTACTCTGTGCTGAGAAACACTGGAGGGTTTTGAACACAGGTGTGGCATGGTTAGAGAAAGAGAGGGACGATGGGGGGACCTTCTTCCCTCCATCTGTCACTGTCCCGACAAAACCTCTCCTAATCGTATCTGCACAGAAATAGAAAATGAACCAAGTAGAGCCGTACGAGAGAGCGTAAGGGCCCTGAGCACCTGAAGTAGATAAAGGGTTGTGAGGAACAGAGGCAAGATGGTCTTAGTCATTGGAAGCTGGGTTTTCAGAGACTCTTCTGAATTTTATACAGCTCTTAGGCTCATGAAAACTGATCCCTTTCCTTTGTAAGCTTGTTTGTCAGGTGCGTTCTTTTTCCTTGGCAAAGCCTGATCTGCTTTATCCTGATCAGTAATTATTGGATTCAGTAAAAGTCTTTCCTATTTCCTTGGAAATAAGGAGTCAGATCTTTTCTTACCCGAAAAGTCCTGAAATGTTAAACAGCTTCAGTTGGATTGCAAGGGGCATCTGTGTGCTTGTGCATTGCTGGCTGTGCCTGCAAAATATAGGAAGGAACTTTTCTTCCCTGGCAAACCCAACTTTGATTATACTGACGGCTTTTTAACTACTGTTTTCTCTTAACTGCAGATAACTTGTTTATCCCTACGGTAAAGAAGGCACGTGGCTGATGAGCAGGGAGGCGAGGCCGCAGAGTGAGGCAGAGGGGCAGGCCTGGGAAGCAGAGGACGATGACATGGCAGAAGGCGATTTAGGGTATGGCCTCAGAAGAAGGCCCGGCGGCATTTATGAAGTGCAAGTTTCACATTTATTTACATCTAGAAAAAGATCAGATGGAAAGGCCTTTAGTCCTCCCCCGTTTTCAAGAAATGGGGAAGAAAGAAACAGTGCCGTTTTTCAGTATTCCAAGCATAAGAGCTTGCATGATACACACCCGGAAGGACCCCAAATTCCCTATCACGGCCGACAAAGTAGCACTGGTAAGAATGCCCAGCATCCTCTTTCTCCTCCTCTTTTCTGCCCTGTGGATTTTATCAATGCTGTCAGCCTCCCAACACATGAAGATGGGTCACCATCGTGGATTTTAGAAATTTATCTTTATTCACCTCTAGAGGTTGATTGGTGATGGTAAAGGTGATTGATGTTTGTGTCTCCATGCATTATACAAATTGTGAAGTACAGTAATTATTCTGCATCAATACATATATGTTAGTTATATCAATAAGTAATTACTTACCTTGCTTTTCTTGTGAAGTAGTGGTATACTTCATTTGTTCTTTTTTTGTCTTATTCAGCAAACATTTATTGGGTACCTGTTAGGTACCCAGCACAGTACCAGACTCTGGGAATAACATCAGTAAATAAAATAGTCAAAGGCCCTAATGCCATGGAGTTCACATTCTGGTAGAGCAGACAGAAAATAAACCTGCAAATCAACAGCTATGTAACATCAGGCAGTAGTACGTGAAAAGACAGTGAGTAAGTGGAGGGGCTGGGGCGCTGCTGTTTGAGGCACAGGTCAAGAGAGGTGACATTGGGCTTCCCTGGTGGCGCAGTGGTTGAGAGTCCCCCTGCCGATGCAGGGGACGCGGGTTCGTGCCCCGGTCCGGGAAGATCCCACATGCCGCAGAGTGGCTGGGCCCATGAGCCATGGCCGCTGAGCCTGCGCGCCCGGAGCCTGTGCTCCGCAACGGGAGAGGCCACAACAGTGAGAGGCCCGCATACCACAAAAAGAGAAGTCACATTGGAGCACTGCAAGCCTGATGCTCATCTGGGGAAGGAGTGTTACAGGCAGAACACACAGGCTTCAGGTTATTTTAGGGATGTCATAAAATTCTCAAAACAAAATTAATTTATCATAAGTAAAAATAAATTGTGCTGTACACTAAGGAGAGAATAAAATTCAGAATCATACTGTGATAGAATGTTACAACTGCGAAGTGACCCGGAACTGGTGGATGAGTCCCAGCCTGCACTGAGGTACAGCTCTGGTGTGGCTGAATCTTTTGTAATCCACATTGTAAAACTTCCCCACCAAAGTGGAACAAACACAATTAGAACAACATGAAAATAATTTAAGAAACATTTCAGATTTATGAAAACATGGTGCAGCTGGGGATCGATCTCTGTCCTTCAAAATCCTTCTTGAAATTAGGATGGGATTATTTATATATTTTTCTTCCAAGTCCTTATCATGCATAGAGGATGGATACTGTTTTGCAAGCAAGATGTTGAAAATTGAACATTATGCTAAGATGCCTTTACAAAAATGTGAGGAAACTACTGGGATATAAACAAGAAGTAATAGTAATGGTATGAGCTCCTATATTTTTTGAGTTATCGACTTTTGTCTTTTTATCAAAGTTGACTTGATCCTAGGTGAGAATATTGTGTTAGTTTCCTCTTGCTAATAGGCAGTTTCCAAATTACCAGAAATTTAATGGTTTAAAACAACATAAATTTTATTCTCTTACAGTTCTGTAGGTCAAAAATCCAAAACAGGTTTCACTGGACTAAAATCACGGTGTTGGCATGGCTGCCTCCCTTCTGGAGGCTCTAGGGGAGAACCCACTCCCTTGCCTTTTCCACCTTCTAGAGGCTGCCTTCCCTGGCCGTGGTACCCTTCCTCCGTCTTCACAGCCACTTCTCCCGCTGCCTTATGCTGATACTGACTCCTCTGCCTCCTTCTTTCATTTATAAGGACCTGGGTAATCCAGAATAATCTCCTATCTCCACGTATTTAATCACACCTGCAAAATCCTTTTTGCTAGGTATTCACAGGTTCTGGGATTAAGATGTGGACATCTTTGGGGGCCATTTTTCTGCCTACCACAGGTGTTAATAGAGTAGAACTTGTCATTGTCAAACCAGTGTTACTTTTTAAAAAATTTAATTTATTTTTTTATTTTTGGCCACACCATGCTGCATGCAGGATCTTAGTTCGCCGACCAGGGATTGAACCCATGCCCCCTGCACTGGACCGCCAGGGAAGTTCCCCAATGTCACTTTTGTCCCTCATTGGAACCCTGAATTATCAGAGTAAAAACATGACTTAGGTTTTCCCTTGGTTACTGTCATGTTGATGAAAGTTCAGAATAGCAAAGAAAAGAATTGTTTTGAGAAATTTTTAATGTCCCTCAAAATACTCTTTCTAAATTTTTTTGCTTCTTTTTACTTCCTGTTCTCTTGCTATAATTTATCACTTCAATGTTTTTCTATTGCCAGTGAAACTGCAATGTAAATGAAGTTCCTGGGAAGCCCAGATTAATGTCTCAGTTGATCGATCCCATTAAGGAGAGAATAATTGAAGTTACTGGAGACTTCTAGTGATTCTCCTTGGAAAGAAATTAAATTCAGGTTATTTCTTAGATATTCATATCACGATATTGATCAGGCTTAAGCCAAACACCAAAATTTATTTACTTTACTCACCAACATTCATTAATACTGTGTTTGGATATAGTAAGTAACCAATTCATTAACAACAGTTTTATTTTAGAGTCCTTTTTTTTAAGAGTCTTTCGATTCAAAAGTATGTGTCTTTTCATTTGTGGAATGTTCTAAGCTATCTGTTTTTATCGTCATTTGGTTTATTACAGTTATTTTCTCGTTTCAGTTTAGGGAAAGGCTGTATTTGATATTTTGTAAACAAATGTCCCATATTTAACTAGCTAAAGAAAATATTTAATTTTTTTTTTCCCTCTAGTAGATTCTAATTCAGAGTTGTCAAATGTGGAATTAAGGCAACGTCTTCAGGAAACTTTAGAGGTAGGTCCTCTGGCTAACATACAAATTCTCATGTGAATAAAGTCCACTGATAGATATTTTGTGTAAGTATTACTAACATGGTATGGAAGTCAACTGTTGGCTTTCCATATATTCTCGAGCCACACTGTCAAGCTCATAGCTTCCAACTGGCCTCCGCATCTCAGTGGCTTCGTCGCCTCATCTCTCCGAATGGCTGTTCGTATAAACATGCCCTCTTGTTCTCCTTTCCAACTTATTTCTCTAATCTCCTCCTGGAGAAAATAATCACTCCCTTCCATCTGTCTTCCCAGTATGTGTGACTTGAAATAACCTGACTTAATTGAACCTCTTTGAAGTCAGAGGACTAGAAAGTACCCCAGGGGGTCTGAGGAGACCATCCGTCTTGCTGGGAGTTGGAGTTTCTATGAGGGTGCTTGTCCTTTCAGGAACAGAAAGCCTGTCTTAGTGTGCATTTGTTTTTTTTGTTTGTTTTTTTGGGTTTTGTTTTGGCCGTAGCATGTGGGATGTTAGTTTCCCGACCAGAGGTCGAACCTCAGGCCCCCTGCAGTGGACGCATGGGGTCTTAACTGCTGGACCGCCAGGGAACTCCCTTACTGTGCCTTTGTATCTCTTCTGGTGACTGCTACTCTACTGGTTTCTAGGGCTGCCCTGACAAACTGGTGTCTTAAAAGAGCAGATCGCAGCTTCCCTGGTGGCGCAGTGGTTGAGAGTCTGCCTGCCGATGCAGGGGACACGGGTTCGTGCCCCAGTCCGGGATGATCCCACATGCCGCGGAGCGCTGGGCCTGTGAGCCATGGCCACTGAGCCTGCGTGACTGGAGCCTCTGCTCTGCAACGGGAGAGGCCCGCGTACCGCAAAAAAAAAAAAAAAAAGAGCAGATCGATTCTCTCTCAGCTATGGCGGCTAGAGGTCTGAAATCAAGATGTGGGTGGGCCATGTTCCCTCTGAAGGGTCTAGAGGAGAATCCTTTACCACCTCCTAGCTTCTGGCGGTTGCCGCCAACAACCTTTGGCTTGTAGCTGCGTCACACCAGTCATTGGATTGAGGCCTACTCTAATCTAGTATGACATTAATTACATCTGCAAAGACCCTATTTCCAAATAAGGTCGAATTTATGGTACCAGGGGTTAGGACTTGAGGATATCTTTTGGGATGGGGGGCACAGTTCTACCTATAATAGCTACTGTAGCTGTGTAGCCGATCATGTTCTTATTTTATGTGGTCTAAAGCTTTTTCTCCAAATTATTAACTGTGTGTGTGGCCTAGATGGGTAAAAGCAAAAGATTTGGGCTTTTAGTCATAACTGGCACCTGACAGCGAGCATCTCAGTTTTAGCCTCTCTGGTCCACTTACAAAGCCTGGAGGAATTTCCAACCTCATTTTGTAAGGTCAGAGCACTTTGAGTCAAAGTGAATGTTGAGCTTAAATGTAGACTGTCTAAATTGATCATTTGGGGTTGCATATCTCACAGATAGGAAGACTAATTGTATTTTTCTCCTCAGGAGGTAGAAATTTTGAAAACTGAACTTGAGGCATCTCAAAGACATCTTGAAGGTAAAGAGGAAGCATTGAGAATTCTTCAAAGCAATGTAAGAAGTTACTTTTACACTTTCATCAGGTACACATTCCAATGATAGGTAGTATGGTTTTATCTTTTTAATTTAATTGAATTTTTATATTTTTGGCCATGCTGCACAGCTTGCCGGATCTCAGTTCCCCAGCCAGGGATTGAACCCAGGCCATGGCAGTAAAAGTGCCGAATCCTGAACACTAGACCACCAGGGAACTCCCTGGTTATAGCTTTTAAAATAAAAGCATCAGTGTTTATAATATAGTTTTTTTTTTTGAGCTATAGATTTTTAAAACAGCTTTATTAAGATATAACTTAATGTCATGAATTTCACTTGTTTTAAGCAATTTATTTTTAGTAAACTTAGAATTGTGTAACTATCATCACAACTTAATTTGGAACATTCCCATCACCCCAAAAAGGGAACATTCCCATCACCCCAAAAAGGGAACATTCCCATCACCCCAAAAGGGAACATTCCCATCACCCCAAAAGGGAACCTCTTACCCATTAGCAGTTATTCCCATTCCCGTCCCCAGCCGCCACTCATCTACTTTCTGCTTTATAGCTTTGCCTTTTCTATTTCATAAATAGAACCATACAGTATATGTCTAGATTCTTTTGCCTCTTGATTCTTATAGTTAGCGTATTTTGAAGGTTCATGCATGTTGTAGCATGTGTCAGTGCTTTCTTCCTTTTTTATTGCCAGATAATATTCCATTATATAGATATGCCACATTTTGTTTATCCATTTACCAGTTGATAGGTATGTTGGGCTATTATGAATAATGCTGCTAGGAATGTTCATGTACATGTCCTTGTGTGCGAAATCCATTCATTCATTCTCACGTTCATTGGGAAAGAACCAAACCAAGATCTTCTGACTTTTGAACTATCAAACTCTATACAAAAGGTCTCTGCGGGAATCTCATCTCAAGGTACTTTTCTACTGTCTTAAAATAAAAATGTGAACTTCACCTTGCATATAAGGGTGATTGGAAATTTAATTTATACTGTTACAATCTTTATTTTTCTTAGGCAATATTTGGCAAAGCCACAAGTCATACCCAGGCAGTGCTTCAAAAAACTGTGGAACAAAAGAGATCCTTGGAGAAGGTATTTGACCACATATAGCGTATAGTGTAGACTTGTTCAATTCAATAAGCTTTCAAATAGAATTCCCTTAAAAATCACCGTACCAGTGGATATGTCATTTGTGCATACCCTCTGCTAGGTGTATTTCAACTTCATACAGTCCCTTCCCTTTTGGAGCTTATAATCCAAAACAGATTGTCACATGGGCTAAGCCTGCCAAATCGACACTTCCTGTTTTTCTTTTCCTATTTTTCTTCTTCTGCTTGCCCTGCAGAGCCTGCCTCTTTCTGACCATCTCATCTTCACTAAAAAGGTAGTTAGGAATCACCCTAGATGGTCATCTTCCTATTCCTGTTTTACTCTCCCTTGGTGGGAGTGTCCTGGGCTCAGACTTCCAGGAGTATATGTTGGGGTCTGCATGGGTTGGGGACAATGAGAAATCTAGGTTCAGGCCAACAAATTTGAAACGTTCCCTATAATAAGTAAGCTTCAGCAAAGCTTTTTTGAGTGCTAAAGAGGCATGTCATATGTGTTTATAAACATCATAGACTCTTTTTGAGCAGTAATTAGTTTTTTGTCTTTAACCTATTTCTGTGAAGTGACTAAATGATTTATTTCAAATATTCAAAAGTCATGAAATGATTTATTTGTAGTAATTTCCTTGAAAGTGCTATTTTTTTCTGTAGGAAATAAATGCCTTGCAGTGGGAAATAGAATTTGATCGCAATAGATTTAAAAATATAGAGGAATCTTGGATCCAAAAATATGACAGGTTTGTATATTATTCCATAATTTTTCTTTGGAAATTTTTAAACCGTGTATAATTCAAATGTAGCTTAGGCTTTCTTCTTTTTTGAGCACACTAAGTATAAAATTCAGGGAATTCCCTGGTTGTCCAGTGGTTAGGACTTGGTGCTTTCATTGCCATGGCCCGGGTTCAATCCCTGGTCGGGGAACTAAGATCCTGCAAGCCATGTGGCACAGCCAAAAAAAAATAAAATAAGATTCATATTGCTTACCTACTTACCATTTCCATATTTTATTGTTACTGTTAATTTTTTTTCTTTAAAAACTAGTATAAACTGTATATTAAAATACAGTTTAAGAGCCATGTTTCCCAAGTTATTTTAGCCTTGCACTGTTTTTTCAAAGTCTTTTGAGCAACTCTTGTATTAGTGTGAATTTATTTAATAACTTTGACCTTATGAATATGTTATAATTTAATCACTGAGAAATTGATTTGGTATCTGGGGTTATAGATGGCTTTAGTACCTAATTTTTAAATTTATTACTTCTTAACTTTTAATTTGAGATAATTGAAGACTTACAGAAAAGTTGTAAGAATAGAACAACTCCTATATATCTTTCACCGCGATTCTCCAAATTTTAACTCTTTATCACATTTACTTTATCATTCTTTTTTCCTTTCTTTCGCTCTCTTTGTAGTTAAATACATAGAGGTAATATTTTCTGAACCATTGTGCATATATAGGGTCCCATTACTCTAAATACTTCAGTTTGTATTTTTTTTAAAAAGGGACGTTCTCATTTATAACATAATATAGTTATAAAAATCAAGACCTTAACCCAATACTATTATTTAATGTGCCAACTATATTACCAACTATCTTAATAATGTTATATTATTCTTTATATTACCAAGTATCTTAATAATGTTCTTAGAGCAAAAGAGAAAACACCATTTCCCCTGTTCAGGACCAGTCCAGAACCACACGTTGCATTTGGTTGTCATGTCTAAATTTTAGTCTCCTTTAATCTGAAACAGTTCTTCAGTGTTTATCTTTTATAACCTTTACAGTTTTTTGAGGTGGACAGGCCCATTATTTTATAGAATATCCTACAATGAGGGTATCTGATGCTTCTGGCTTGAATTGGGTTGTGCATTTTGGGCAGTATTACCACTGAAGCTGTGTATTCTTAGTCCATCACATCAGGAGGCATGTGGTGCTGATTTGTCCTGTTCCTAGGATGTGAATCTTGGTCACTTGGTTAAGGTATGGTGTCTGCCCTCATTCTCCACTATTAAGTCACTGTTTTTCCCCTTGTAGTTAATAAGCATCTTGTGGAGAGATACTTGAAAATTATGTAAATGTACTGTGGCTCAGCAGACTTTTCACCCACTCGTTTTTATATCCACTGATAATTCTACCTGGAGCAATTATTACTACAATGGTTGCCAAATGGTAATTTTCTAATTCCCTTATTCCTTCTACATTTGTATGTTGGCATTTTACTGTAAAAAAGAGTTTTTCCTTCTCATTTGTTTGTTTATACCAATACAGATTCAAGGATTCTTGCATTATTCAGTGGGTTAAAAGCTATTACTACCATAATTTCTTTTGATGCTTAAAATTTTCCAACTTCGGTCAGTGGGAGCCCCATCAAGCACAGGTGTTCCTGTGACCTTTTGACATTTATTTTTCTTTGAGCACTTTCTTGCTTCCTGGTACAAGATATTCTAGGCCAGGATGCCTACAATATTACGTATTTCTTCAAGGAGCAGCAGTTCCTTTTAATGGGGAATGGTGTTTAGAAATCAAGATCTGAGTGCTAGGTGTGCTCATTACTACTGAGGATTCACTGCGTGAAGTTCCTCTCAGAGGACAGAGTTAGAAAATACACAGATGCAGACACATATATATATATATATATATATATATATATATATATATATATATACATCTATCTATCTGTCTTTCTGTGTCATCGATTTATCATCTATCTACCTGTCTCTTTATCATTTATGTATGTATGTATCTATCCCATATCAATGAGATCATACTCATATCTCCAGTTGCAGAACACCACCACAGGGTTCATCTTAGCCTTGCCCCTCTCTGCATTTGTAAGTCCCACAAGGAGACACCTGGCTCCAGTTACCCTGTATGTTTACTTATTTGTTCCATCATAGACTATACAGAAAGTAACTTTAGAATTGCTAATACATACCATTGTAAAATCAAACCCATTAACTAGACTTCCATATTTGTTTACAGTTTTGTTTTTAGCCTGAATTAAATTTAGCCTGAATTGTAATTAAAAACGGTCGCCAGATCATCTGGTCTAATTTATAACTTTAAATAAAATACCTATCAAGACGTGATATTCCTAGGGAATATTACATGCTGTGCTTGGGACAGGCCTCGTATCATTAAAACGGTGGTCATGAAGTTAAAGTTTCTCAATTAAAAGTGAAATGTGGTTCACATCACACAAAAAAATTCTGTATCCATGTATGTGACGCATGTTGACTGTATTGTGGTGAACATTTTGTGATATGTACAGGTGTTGAGTCATTGTGTTGTACACCTGAACTAATGTAATATGTCAGTTATATCTAAAAAACAAGAAATGTAAATCTAAGACATCCCCTTTCCATGAATTACCTACAAATTAATAAAACATGAAATCAGTTTCTCAAGCAATGTCTATAGCCCTTGAGGAATAAAGCACTTTTTTTTCCCTTTATAAATTTATTTATTTATTTACTTACTTATTTTTGGCTGTGTTGGGTCTTCATTGCTGCGTGCAGGCCTTCTCTAGTTGCTGAGAGTGGGGACTATTCGTTGTGGTGCATGGGCTTCTCACTGCAGTGGCTTTTCTTGTTGCGGAGCATGGGCTTTAGGTGTGCGGGCTTCAGTAGTTGTGGCACGTGGGCTCACTAGTTGTGGCACGTGGACTCAGTAGCTGTGGCTTGTGGGCTTAGTTGCTCTGCGGCATGTGAGATCTTCCCGGACCAGGGCTCGAACCCATGTCCCCTGCATTGGCAGGCGGATTCTTAACCACTGCACCACCAGGGAAGTCCCAGCCTCCATATTTTGAGTTGAAAGGTGGGACTAAGGAAGTAGACCAGAGTCAAAATGTGAGAGGATATTTTTAGTCCTGGAAGAGCAGCGGATTCTTAACCACTGCACCACCAGGGAAGTCCCGATGGTGGGCAATTTAGGAACTCTTGTAAGTAATTCCAATTTTCATTCAATAGATAAAGCTCCCTATCTATCTTTTTCTTAAATTGAGGTATAATTGACATAACAGTGTATTGGTTTCAGGTGTACAATATAATGATTTGATATTTGTATATGTTGCAAATGATCATCACAATAAATCTAGTTAATATTCATTGCCGTACATCATTACAGTTTTTTTCTTATGTTGAGAACTTTTAAGGTCTACTCTCTTAGCAGCTTTCAAATACTGTACAATAATTGTTAGCTACAGTCTTCATGCTGTACATTGCATCCCCAGGACTTATTTATTTTACAACTGGAAGTTTGTACCTCCCTATGTATCTTTTTATGCAAATTTTGGAAGGTGAACTAAGCATGTAGTTGGTGTTCAAATGGTTATTAACTTGATTGAAACTTTAGTAAAGAGAATGAATGTTCAAAATAGATGACTTAGAGGTATTTCTGGTTCTGATACTTTCTCAGCTAAGTATACAGAAGGGGTAAGAGTAAGTTCGAAGTCTAACCACACTCCTTTAAATTTTTATTTTATTACCTATATAAATTCTAGACTGTTTTGATGTAAGAAAAATTATATTAGAGTTTTCGTGTTCTAATTATGGGATTAAATATTCTCATTCACCTACAAAGTATTAATGTTTTAGTTACTTGGAGGGTACTTTTTTCCAGGCTAAACTGTGAAAATGCAGTCCTCAAAGAAACTTTGAAACTGAAAACAGAAGAAATTAAAATGCTCAAGTCTGAAAATACAAGTAAGTAGAGTGGTATTTTGATAATTCTTTTAAAATACTATGTTAAAAGATCAGTTTTATATAGAATGTCCTATGTTAAGAACAAAATATCAATAGACAAAGTGCTAATATTTTGAAGTAACATATTTTAAGGATAAAAGAGAAGAAATGCATCAGTTAGGTTTTTTTTTTTAACATCTTTATTGGAGTATAATTGCTTTACAATGTTGTGTTCGTTTCTGCTGTATAACAAAGTGAATCAGCTATATGTATACATATATCCCCATATCCTCTCCCTCTTGCATCTTGCTCTCACCCTCCTTATCCCACCCCTCTAGGTGGTTGCAAAGCACTGAGCTGATCTCCCTGTGCTATGCAGCTGCTTCCCACTAGCTATCTGTTTTACATTGGGTAGTGTATATATGTCAGTGTTACTCTCTCGCTTCGTCCCAGCTTACCATTCCCACTCCCCGTGTCTTCTAGTCCCTTCTTTATGTGTGTGTCTTTATTCCTGTCCTGCCCCTAGGTTCATCAGAACTATTTTTTTTTTTTAGATTCCATATATATGTGTTAGCATACGGTGTATGTTTTTCTCTTTTTGACTTACTTCACTCTGTATGACAGACTCTAGGTCCATCCACCTCACTACAAATAACTCAGTTTCATTTCTTTTTATGGCTGAGTAATACTCCATTGTATATATGTGCCACGTCTTTATCCATTCATCTGTCGATGGACACTTAGGTTGGTTCCATGTCCTGGCTGTTGTAAATAGAGCTGCAGTGAACATTGTGGTACATGACTCTTTTTGAATTATGGTTTTCTCAGGGTATATGCCCAGTAGTGGGATTGCTGGGTCATCTGGTAGTTCTACTTTTAGTTTTTTAAGGAACCTCCATACTGTTCTCCATAGTGGCTGTATCAATTTACATTCTCACCAACAATGCAAGAGAGTTCCCTTTTCTCTACACCCTCTTCAGCATTTATTGTTTGTAGATTTTTTGATGATTCTGACTGGTGTGAGGTGATACCTCATTGTAGTTTTGACTTGCATTTCTCTAATGATTAGTGATGTTGAGCATCCTTTCATGTGTTTGTTGGTAGTCTGTATATCTTCTTTGGAGAAATGTCTATCTAGGTCTTCTGCCCATTTTTGGATTCTTTTTTTTAAAATTAATTAATTAATTAATTTGGCTGCGTTGGGTCTTCGTTGCGTCGCGGGCTTCTCACTTGCAGTGGCTTCTCCTGTTGCGGAGCACAGGCTTTAGGCGCCTGGGCTTCAGTAGTTGTGGCTCATGGGCTCTAGATCACAGGCTCAGTAGTTGTGGTGAATGGGCTTAGTTGCTCCATGGCATGTGGGATCTTCCCGGCCCAGGGATCAAACCCGTGTCCCCTGCATTGGCAGGTGGATTCTTAACCACTGTGTCACCAGGGAAGTCCAGGTTGTTTGTTTTTATGATATTGAGCTGCATGAGCTGCTTGTATATTTTTTGGAGATTAATCCTTTGTCAGTTGCTTTGTTTGTAAATATTTTCTCCCATTCTGAGGGTTGCCTTTTTGTCTTGTGGTTTCCTTTGCTGTGCAAAAGCTTTTAAATTTCATTAGGTCCCATTTGTTTATTTTTTTTTATTTTTTATTTTTTTTGCGGTACGCGGACCTCTCACTGCTGTGGCCTCTCCCATTGCAGAGCACAGGCTCCGGACGCACAAGGCCCAGCGGCCATGGCTCACGGGCCCAGCCGCTCCGCAGCATGTGGGATCTTCCCAGACTGGGGCACGAACCCGCGTCCCCTGCACCGGCAGGCGGACTCTCAACCACTGCACCACCAGGGAAGCCCCCATTTGTTTATTTTTAATTTTTCTAGGAGGTGGGTCAAAAAGGATCTTGCTGTGATTTATGTCAGAGCATTCTGCCTGTTTTCCTCTAAGAGTTTTATAGTGTCTGGCCTTACATTTAGGTCTTTAATCCATTTTGAGTTTATTTTTGTGTGTGGTATTAGGAAGTGTTCTAATTTCATTCTTTTACATGTAGCTGTCCAGTTTTCCCAGCACCACTTATTGAAGAGGCAGTCTTTTCTCCATTGTATACTCTTGCCTCCTTATCAAAGATAAGGTGACCATAGGTGCATGGGTTTATCTCTGGGCTTTCTATCCTGTTCCATTGATCTATCTTTCTGTTTTTGTGCTAATACCATGCTGTCTTGATTACTGTAGCTTTGTAGTATAGTCTGAAGTCAGGGAGCCTAATTCCCCCAGCTCTGGTTTTGTTTCTCAAGATTGCTTTGGCTATTTGGGGTCTTTTGTGTTTCCATACAAATTCTGCAATTTTTTGTTCTAGTTCTGTGAAAAATGCCATTGTTAGTTTGTTAGGGATTGCATTGAATCTATAGAGTGCTTTGGGTAGTATAGTCATTTTCACAATGTTGATTCTTCCAATCCAAGAACATGGTATCTCTCTCTATCTGTTTGTATCATCTTTAATTTCTTTCATCAGTGTCTTATAGTTTTCTGCATACAGGTCTTTTGTCTCCTTAGGTAGGTTTATTCCTGGGTATTTTATTCTTTTTGTTGCAATGGTAAATGGGAGTGTTTCCTTAATTTCTCTTTCAGATTTTTCATCATTAGTATATAGGAATGCAAGAGATTTCTGTGCATTAATTTTGTATCCTGCTACTCTACCAATTCATTGATTAGCTCTAGTAGTTTTCTGGTAGCACCTTTAGGATTCTCTATGTATAGTATCATTTCATCTGCAAACAGTGACAGTTTTACTTCTTCTTTTCTGATTTGGATTCCTTTTATTTCTTTTTCTTCTCTGATTGCTGTGGCTAAAACTTCCAAAACTATGTTGAATAATAGTGGTGAGAGTGGGCAACCTTGTATTGTTCCTGATCTTAGAGGAAATGGTTTGTTTTTCACCATTGAGAACGATGTTGGCTGTGGGTTTGATCAGTTAGGTTTTCGAATTAAAAAAAAATTTGAGGTGAAATTCACATAACTTAAACCATTTAAAAGTGAACAATTCATAACGCTTATAAACATCTAGTTCTAAAACGTTTCCATGACTACAACATAAAACCTTATACCCATTAAGCAGTTTCTCCTGATTCTCCCTTTATCCTTTAGTTTTTATACTCAGTGTAAACAAAATGGTAGAGTACCTGATGTTTGAGGAACCTGAGTAGGTGTATGTTTATTGGGAATCTAGTAGGAAAAGTATAAAATTGTATAGTTATTCAACATAATTTTTTCTCATAAAAGTGTCTTCTGTGACTTTGTCACTAATGCAAATATTTTTCAAAATATTATTTGACTCATTAAGGACTTGAAATTATATAGATGTATGTGTATATACACACACACACACACACACACAGAGCATATCTTTTATATAATGAGTCACTATATGACAAAAGTTAATGAAAGAGTATTAAGGTGGTACCAACTTTTTAGAAATCTTTTTTTTGGCCATACCATGTGGCTTGTGGGATCTTAGTTCCCTGACCAGGGATCAGACCTGGGCCCCTGGCAGTGAGAGCCCAGAGCCCTAACCACTGGACTGCCAGGGAATTCCCAGCAGAAACTCTTTTAAAGTGGTGGCTTGAAAGGCATAAAATGAGTTCTCAGTCAGGTCATGGGCCCGAGAGTGGCACTTTACATAGTGTAGTAAGTGAACTGTGGCAATCCCCTGGGTGAGAACTGCACACGCAGATATGCTTCTGCACACCAGTGATTTGAGCAGGTAGTGATTTCCCCCATGTTAGGTTGGTGCCAGGACAGAAGTTGCTCATAACCACTACTCCTGTCCCTTCCTCCCTATCCTTCCACCCTATAAGAAGAGAGGGAAAGTTACTGTTATTCTGCTTTCCAGTAAGTAGCAGGACCCCTCTTGTTCTAAATATTTGCGTTGAGAGCCTCTTGTGAAAACTAACTAAAAGAAAAGTCTGATAGAGTTTGGAGAGCTGGTAGAGTTGACTTTAATACAATATATGAGATTTCATCTTCTGATCGTCTCACAGTGTGGATAATTAGCCTTTGTATGTTCTCTTTTTGAAAATCCTACAAAGTTTCTTTGAGCAAATGAAGACCAGACTTAGGTTGCAAAATTATTTCCACATTAAAAATAACATTTTATCTAGTGTTAACTCACTTGATACCCACTATTCTATCAGATTTTCTGGTTGGAGACAGATTTTGTGGGTAGTTGTATATCCCTTGCTTAGAAGAAGTATGTGGTGTTGGTTTAACTGGATTGGGTGAGGCTGGGGTTAGACCTCCTAACACTTTCTTACATGGCCCTTCCTAGTTTTGAATCAACAGTATTTGGAGGCCCTCGCCATGCTTGATATCAAACAGCAGAAGATGGCTCAGGAAAACACATGCCAGGACACAAGTGGCTTTACAGAGGTTTCAGGTCTTGAGGTAGGTAAGCAGGTATGAAAGTTTAGTAGGAGGGAAATTTTCCACTTCCATTTTCTTTCTGCTGTCGCCATCAGCTCCACTTCTAGGATAGAACCATACTTAGCAATTTGAGACCGAGGGTGAGAGAGGCCCAGGTCCACTCTTCAGCCTTGCTGGTACCATACCTTTCAGGCACAGCATTCTTGGACATTAGGGGATGTGCTAGCCACTTCCTGTCCCTTTTATTTCCTTTTTCTACAGCTTTAGCAGAAAGTGTGTTAGTAGTATCTTCCCTGGGTAGAGGCTTACAGCATCAGAGTACTTTGCCACACATTTTTTAATCTGATCTTCGTAATGGTCTTGTGAGGGCTGCAAAGCAAGTATTATCCCCATTTTACAGAGGAGGAAACCCAGGCTCAGATAGTTTTAGTTACTTTCCCAAAGTGATGCAGTCACTCCGGGGTTGAGCCAGGTCCAGGACAAAGATCTGCTGATGCATTGCTAATTGCTTGCTGAGGTGTGAAATGTCTTACAAGTGTCCTGGGGACTCATGAGAAATAAGCGTACCAGTGGAGTGAGAAGGGGTAGCCATTCACTTATTATGGAACTTCAAATAAAGCAACTACTACTACTAATAGCAAATACATAGTCCTTAGTAAGTGCCAGACACTGTTCTAAGTGATTCACATAGATTAACACATTTAATTCTCACAACTACCAAATAAGGTGAGTACAATTAAATCCCTATTTTACAAATGAGGTAATTTTGGCACAGAAGGGTTAAGTGATTTGCCCGAAGTCACAAAGCTACTAAGTGGTGGAGCTGGGAATTACACCCAGGTAGAGTTTAGAGTCTGTGCTTTTGATCACCATGCTCTACTGCCTGGGTGGAAAACTAGTGTAATAGCAAAAAAAAGAAAAATAAAAGAAACTGAATGGAGAGAAAGTTCAGAAAAAGCGTGCTTTATTATAATCTTGAGTAGGCTCTAAGTAACTTTATGGCAGGCAAGAACATGGGCCCTGAGCCAGTTGATGAAGGAGCACTGAGGTAAGGACATAGAATTAGGATGCAGAGGTCCTTGCAGAAACCTTGCATTTTTATATTGGCCCTACCCAGGTCTTAAGTTGCTTTTGGCAACTTTCGCAGGGACAATTATCAGGAGCGGGAAGTTGAAAAGGGAAGATACCAATCTGCCACATAGCCGCCATTTGTACACTTGAGTCAACTGAAAGCTCACTGTGTACTTCACAGTTATCATTAATGCAAGAAGGAATTTTCTGAAATAGCCTTTACACTAAGAGAGACCGTGGAATCTTCCTCTCTAAACAGTCTCTAAAATAAGATTCTGTTTTAAGCCAGTCCATGTGAAATTTATAGCAGCAGGAAGCTTAGACAATAATTTTGTAGTATGTTCCACATGAAACTTTAAAAGATATGGCACAATATGTTACATAGACTGCATCCATTAAATTGGAAGCTGTTGGAATATTTTGGGAAAGCAACTTGTGGTTACTTGCCAAAATGGGTTTTTAAAAAAAAGTACAACAGGGCTTCCCTGGTGGCACAGTGGTTGAGAGTCTGCCTGCAATGCAGGGGACACGGGTTCGGGCCCCGGTCCGGGAAGATCCCACATGCCGCGGAGCGGCTGGGCCCCTGAGCCACGGCTGCTGAGCCTGCGCGTCCGGAGCCTGTGCTCCACAACGGGAGGGGCCACAACAGTGAGAGGCCCGCGTACCGCAAAAAAAAAAAAAAAGTACAA